AGTCTAACTGCTATTGCTATTGCTATTGCTAAGGTTACCTGTACCACTATATCAAACTGACTCTCTAATTACCCATTAATACTGGATATTTATAAAATCCTGAACGGTCACAGGTGTTACAGTAATCTGCCAGTTTACATAAAATATAATTAAATCTTCAACCACTGACCCCATTAAACCATAAAAGATGGAGTTAGATCAGTACAGTGCTTTCGGGAACATTCAATAGAGCACTGAGAAAATATCCACTGTAAAGAACTTGGTGTCTTCCTGTCTGATACTCAGATAGCAATGCAAGAACAAAACACACACAGACACACACACACACAGAGAAAACAGCTTCTGGCAATTAAGAACAATCTTAAAGACTAACTGCTACTTCTGTTTAAAAGCACAACCCTGTGAAAAGGCACCTTAAGCAACAGGTGTCGGATGTGGTTAGAGTGATAGGATGGGGGTCAAGCTAGTAGAGAAAATTTGTCCAGGGTAAGGCCTCTGAATCAGAGGTGGGTTTCTACCGGTTCGGCCAGGATCAGGCAAACCGGTAATGGCGGCAGCAGGAGGCTCAGCCTACCCGTCCAGACACTTCTGTGCATGTGTAGGAAGTGTCCTGAGTGCGCGCACAAGTGAACCAATAGTAAAAAAAATGGAAATCCACCACTACTCTGAATATGAGTGCTATTTATATAAGGGGAGTAGGGATTCTTATCAGACTATATCAGTGTTTCTCAATCTTGGCATTCGCTGGCTGGGGAATTCTGAGAGTTGAAGTCCAGACATCTTCAAGTTGCCAAGGTTGAGAAACACTGGACTATATGCTTTGTTAATTAGGGATAGTGGGAAGGAAATGTCTCCTTTCCCCTTTCTGCGTAATGCCTGTTGAAGCTTTCTATCATATTTTTCACATAGTTTTTCACAAAAAATGAGGCATGCAGAGGGTTAGGGAGGTCTGCAGAATGCAAAAACTTTTTTTTTAATTTACCTCTTCAATCTCTTGGTGCATTTTAGACTCTGAAAAATACGGTAATTAAACATAATACATGGGCGGTTCCAGTGATACACTACTCAGCTAGAATCATCAATTGGACTGTGGCTGAACTGGAAAACTTGGACCAGAAAAAAAGGAAACTATTGAATATGTACCATGCTTTACACCCACAAAGTGACATCAACAGGTTGAACTTACCAAGAGTCATAGGGGGCAGAGGGCTATTGCAAATCCATCAAACTGTAGAAGAAGAAAAACAAAGTTTGAATAACCATGTTAACCAAAATACAGAAAAATTGCTGCAGGCTGTGAAAATGGAGATTATTAAAGCAACAGAAAAAAACTCAAAATATAAGGAAAAACAGCTAGATGACAGATTAAATAGATGGAAAAGCAAAGCTTTGCATGGACAGCACTTGAAAAAATAGCATTTGCTCAAGTACTACAAACTAATGCCATGAAAGCGAAGATATAAAAATCCACTGACAATCCAAACTGCCGACTTTGCAACGTTAAAATTGAAACTTTCACATTTAATATGTGATTGCAGCAAAATCGCACAGATTACAAAGCTACACATAGCCGAATTAATTGCTAAATTAATTGCTAAGTTAATCCACTGGTCATTATGTAAAAAATACGCCTTACCTATATCAGAAAAGTCATGGGAACCTAAAGTGGAAAAAGTTGTTGAAAATAAGGTGAAGATCATGTGGGACCGTCAAATACAGGCAGATTGTCATTTGGAACACAACATGCCAGATATCACAGTTGTCAAAAACCGAAGTGTACAATTTATTGATATCACTGCACCAGGAGATGCCAGAGTCAAAGAAAAAGAACTGGGAAAAAATCACGAAATATCGCAACCTGGCCATCGAAACTACGTGATTATGGATGGAACATGTGACAGTAATACCCATTGTCATCGGAGCACTTGGTACCGTGTCCAATAATTTTATAAAAAACATCAAGAAATTGCAGCTTCCTGAACTCACACCAGTGGAACTGTAAAAAACTGATACTTGGTTAATACCTAAGATGCTGGCAGCAACCTGCAGAGCCAGTCAAAGATATTTGTGATACNACAAAAAAATAGCAACTTTGCCCGCGAGGAACTGGACATATTCCTCTGCTCTACCTTGTAAAGGGTTATCCGCAACCCTCGTATTTAGGAGGGAGCGGGTCACCCTAAACAAGGCATCTTGAACATCTGGTTTTATTCCCAGGTCTTGGAGTGAGATGGTTGGCCCCTTGCTATTTTTTTGTTTATATAATGTGTCAGGATGCTATTTTGTTTTGGGTTGGAATTGGATTTTATGTTACTGCTTGTGAACTGCACAAATAGAGACAGTTGGAGTTGATGGTGACCACATTGAGTTTAATAAATAAATACATAAATAAACCTGATTGCAATTTTTTATGGTGAATGATGTAATCTTGTAAGAAAACTGATTAATATAATTTTATTATAATAAAATACCACATTTTATTTGCATTTAAATAAATGATAGAAAGAACAGGAGGTTTTTGTTTTTGGTTCCAATGCATGCTTATCACAAAACCTGTCATTAAAAAACCAAATACCTTAGATTCACTCAGCTTGCAAACAACTTTATTATTTAATCAAGTAAAAGTGGCTAGATAATAATTACCCTATTATCCTTATTACATTCTCTCTACATAGTAGAAAAAGTGTAACTTATTGCTGATTGAATGCATCAGCAGGGAGATGCTATCTTATTCAAGAATGTGGAAAATCCTTATTATTAGTGGTATTATTCTGTAGCAGAAAAATTAAATTCATACCTACTGGTATAATGACCCATAATAATTATCTGTGTTGGAGTTTAAGTATTTTGTATCCTCCTCAGAATTTGATTTGCTTTCATACTATATCTCCAATAATGTAGAAAATTTTTGCTGGTTTTGCCAGAGTGATCTTTGGCCCATCTATTTAATCTTTTTGTATTTTCTTATATTTTTCTCTTAGCAGTTTAATTTGCGTTGTTATATATAATGCAGATTCTCTCTCCTCCCTTCATTTCTGCAGCATATAAACAGTTGTATGTTTTTCTTATCACAATTCTGATAATTCTGATTGTTTGTGTCTTTAATTTAATTTATTGCCAATCCTTTGTCTATTTGTCATAGCTACTGGTACCTAGGAAGCTTCATATACTGGTACTTTTGAAAATTGCAAAACAGGTCACTTATGTTAGCTTTCTAGGTGGGTATTCAAAGGCTACCAAAGTTGCAATGTTAGTCCAGTTGTATGGAGGATGCTGTCAAGAGCCACCCATGGGTTGTTACAGAAAAGCCGATCCTGTTTTATTCCATTAACTGATTTGTAGCTTCGTAGAATATAACTCTGCCAAGAAAGCGGTATAATCAAAGCTTTACATCAGTTTCTAAATGATCATTTAAATTACCTATCTTCAGCACTTGTTTTGAGTTCTATTTGTTGTTGATTCAAATACACTCAGTTAGGGCTCGGCCGAAGCTGGTAGAGCTGCCATCAACCTTCGACAGTACGAGGGCTGGTGGGTCAGCCTTGCAGAGGGTGTAGGACCCTGGACAGGGTGTTAAGGCTCGGCCGAAGCTGGTAGAGCTGCCATCAACCTCCGACAGTAGGGGGGCTTGTGGGTCGGCCTTGCAGAGAGTGGAGGACCCTGGACAGGGTGTTAAGACTCGGCCGAAGCTGGTAGAGCTGCCGTCAACCTCTGACGGTGGGGGGGCTGGTGGGTCGGCCTTGCAGAGGGTGAAGGACCCTGGATGGGGTGTCGACACCGTGAAGGGCGGAAGGAAACATGGTGGCCACCGGATACCTAGGGAGTTCCGGCTCAAGGGGGCTATTCCTG